CCTTCAACCCTCATTCTCGTTGATTCGCTGATGTTTTTGACTGAATTAGAGGCATGAGACACAAAAGTCTTGGGAATAATTTCTGACTTGAGATTTGGGGCAAATTGATTTCTACACAATTCAGGTTCCTCGTAATTTATAGGCTGCCATGCTTGTAGAGTAGAGAGGGGCTTTAATTAAGCTGAGCTAATAATATTTTGTTATGCCCCCTGTGTTTCTCTGCTGAAAGATATTATAGAAGAAAAAAGTGTAATGTTATGCAAGGTATCCAGGTTGTAGCCATATTGATCTGGAGGAGAAGGCAATCAGGACTCATACTAGAGATGATATCTTTTATTAGACCAACAAGATTTTTGCCAATAAATGTCTTTATTTATTTATTTATTTTTGCAAAAATCCTGTTGGTCTAATAAAGGATATCATCTCTAGTATGAGTCCTGATTGCCTTATGTTATGCAAGACATCCACACAATTAACCAGCTGTGGACTTTAACCTGAAGAAAATAGTCTGTGGTCTCAGGGAACTGAGCTTTTTCAAACCTAGTGTTGAAGTACAACAGTCATATGCTACAGCCCACTGTTGCATTTATGTGATAAAGCATAGACACATGCCTGAAGAAGGAAGAGGAGTGCCCTGATTTGTAGTTTCTCTCATGCATGGCACTGCTGGTGGAGTTAAAGGAGTGCCTCTTCATCTGAGCGTGGTCACCAGAGGGTCCCAATGGGCTGATGGTCATCCAAATACAGATCAACGGGGTCATTGGCCCAAATAGTTTAGAGTCTGGTTGAACAAGATAGATGGCACCTAAACAGCACCTGGGTGACACAAGCCCTTTTAGTTTCATACCAATCTGGAAACTCAAACCCTGCATCCTGTCTCATGACAGCAGATTTTTTCCCATGGAACAAAAGTTGTTTCTTCTGATGGAAGCACCTTTTTGCTGGTAGCAAACACAGACAAGGTGGAAAATGTGACGTACAACGAGCATAGTTTGTCACCCTCCTGCCTGTATGGGTTGCATGGCTTCCTACAGCATGAGAAATCCATTTAAAGAGATGTAGTGCATGTGCAAAGTAGCTTTATTCAATCTACTTCCTTGAGGCTAAAGGAAAGAGCACGTCCCGTCTTGCTCAAAATCCTCCCCTTTTGGCCCAGCGTTATGAGTGAATGTACTGCTCAGCTTGGCTCTAGTTTGTGGATGCAGGTTGCTCCTCATGGAGCTGGAGTGATTAATAGCGAAGTGGAGCCGTGAGCCCGCCTGCCATGCCTGTTGTACCTGCTCTGTAAAGAAACAAGGGAGTTCAGCTGCCAGGTTATGCCGCCAGCCCCTTCTGCAAGCACTGACGTTGCCCTCAGCTTGTTTAAAAGCAGCTGCTAGAGAGCGAGATTCCCTGTAAAAAGATGAATGGTAACTAAAAATGTAGGGACTGGAAAAATCTATACCTTTTGCCCACGGGATCCTTTCTTAACTAATAACATGCCAGTTATTTATGGCCCTCTGTCAAAGGCGAGGCTTTGCATTTCCCCCAAGCAGAGTTTTTAATTTAATATTTCATGTGGGCTTCATGAAAGCAAGCAATTAATGGCTTTGGCTAGGACGGGCCCCATAGGGACAAGCAGATAAGTTTGTTCGAAGTTACCTACTCGACTCCTGCCAGGGCCCTTCAGCCTTATCCAGCAAGAGAGTTTTATTTGCAGTCTAGACCCAGTTGAGACTATCAGCTACGCTGGATCTGCTGCTTTAAGATGTATTTCTCTAGCCATTCTTTTGCTTTTATTTTATTGGTTTGAAAGATGCAGACAAGCCCAGCAGCCTGCTTGACTAGGGTGACTCAGACTCTAGTTTCTTAGCGTGGCACATAAGAGTGTTTTAGCCAGTATTGCATCCCACTGTCTGTGCTTCTCCAGCCCAATTTAGAGCTGGGTCAGCTTGGCATAAGTCAAACTCGCATCCCCTGCACCATAATGAGATACCTAAGCGACTCTGCCACCCACTCCATTCTCATGAGGGGTCACTGATTGTCCTCATCCCCCTGCTTTACCCATGGTAGGTTAGGGTACTTTTGGTGTCTGTGGGCAGTTTGCCTTGTAAGTGTGCATCAGGATTGATTATGTAGTTTAAGGAATAGATTGGACAAAGACTTGCATGGGATGGTTTGATCCTGCTTTGAGCAGGGGCTAGACTAGCTGTGACCTCCCAAGGTCTCTTCCAACCCTCGTTTTCTATGATTGTATCTATGATGTGCCCTCGCTGCAGAAAGCAAACCCGCTCCATGCCAGAGTTTGCAGACACGCTAAGGGCACGTTGCTAAATCGAATAAAATCAGCACAGGAACCTTACCCGAAATGAAGGGGAAGTAATTTCAAACAATGCAGGGACCTACTAAACTCATTCACTCGTGACCTGAATTAGGTCTGCGAGGCCCTCAGCTTCACAGCGTCACTGGCTTCCTTGGGACTTGAAGACTTGGGCCCCCACGTCAGAAGACCTCCTCAAAACAAACCAAACGTAGTCATACTACTCAATGGAAGAAGAGATGGTCTAGGTGTGCCTCTGTGACTCTGGATGCAGCTCATGGACCACATGAGGCCCACAAGTGGTTAAGCTGTGGGCTGCAGGGCTTATTAGCACAGCTGCCAGAGCTGCTGCATTGGCCGAGCTCGCCTTCCTGCCATGGTTTCTGGATTATCACAGGAGTTGGGGGCATCCAAATTCCCAGCCAGCAGGGCTGGGGGATCAGCATAAAAGCTAAATAGTGGCAGGACCTCTCAGTGGGGCTGGGTTGTAGCAAGCTGAGAAGGGAAGAAACTCTACTTGGCTTTGTGCTCTATCTTCAAACTGTAGGGTGAGATTTAATTGTGTAATTCTTTTCTCCTATATAATAAATCAGTTGGCTGTTTTGCCTCCTTCGTGATTGCCTATGCTAAAGCATGACCTGAGGGCAAGTGATATTCCAGGCTAGGCCATTCTGCAGAAAGGGGGACCTAAAATTGTTTCCCAACCCAAGGGGAAACTACCTGGAGCTGGCAGAGATTCCCCTGCTGCCACTGTGAGATGCGGTATAAGGGCAATGGGGCTGAGGCTTGTGGGGATAAGGAGTTATCCCAGGGCAAACCTTGGTCCGTTCCCTGAGACAAGCAATGAGCAGTGGGGAGGAACTTGGAGCTGCGGCAGTACCCCATGGCTGGCTTTGTAATGGACCCATAATTAATGTAATCCTTTACAAGCCAAGGATGAGATTGCTCTTAAGCCACGAAAATATGCCATGACTGCTCTTAGGCGCTAAGATGTTCAGCTGCACTAGCAAATGCTGCCATGGCAATAAATCCATGTGTAAACACCTTATGCATATAGAAAGCATGAAATGAAATCCCTGAACAACAAGCAATGAAGAATCACTGCAAGAGCAGGCAGGGAGAAGCACATTCAAGACATCTGGAAGATTGTGGGCTCAGCTGCTCGACGGGTCAGTGGGTGGGAAACTGGCTGCATGGTAGGGACCCATGAATGGACCCATGTCATCCTGGTGCGAAGTGGCCAGCGGTGTTCCTCAGGGGTCCATGCTTGGACCGGTGCTTTTCAACATCTTTATCAATGATTTGGATGGGGGAGTGAAAAGCTCACTAGCCAAATTTGCGGATGACACCAAGTTATGGGGCAGTGTGGCCACACCAGAAGATAGGTTGCAGATGCAGGCAGACCTGGACAGGCTCGAGAGTTAGGCAGACCAGAACCAGATGAAGTTTAACACTTCCAAGTGCAAGGTGCTCCATCTGGGGACAAACAACCCTCGGCATACATACAGGCTCGGAGGTGATAGCCTGACTTGCGCCACACCTGAAATGGAGCTAGGGGTAATGATTGACCATCGCATGAATATAAGCCATCAGTGCGAGGCGGTGGTCAGCAGGGCAAACAACACGCTGGCATGCATCAACCAACGCATCTCATGTAAAACCAAGGAAGTGATCCTCCCGCTGTACTCAGCACTGATGAGACCGCGGCTGGAGGACTGCGTCCAGTTCTGGGCGCCGCACTTCGATAAGGACATAGAAAAACTTGAGAGGGTCCAGAGAAGAGCCACGTGTATGATCAGGGACTTGCAAGGCAGATCCTGGGGTCAAACAACCCTCGGCATACATACAGGCTCGGAGGTGATAGCCTGACTTGCGCCACACCTGAAATGGAGCTAGGGGTAATGATTGACCATCGCATGAATATAAGCCATCAGTGCGAGGCGGTGGTCAGCAGGGCAAACAACACGCTGGCATGCATCAACCAACGCATCTCATGTAAAACCAAGGAAGTGATCCTCCCGCTGTACTCAGCACTGATGAGACCGCGGCTGGAGGACTGCGTCCAGTTCTGGGCGCCGCACTTCGATAAGGACATAGAAAAACTTGAGAGGGTCCAGAGAAGAGCCACGTGTATGATCAGGGACTTGCAAGGCAGATCATGCGAGGAAAGGCTGAGGGACCCGGGCCTCTTTAGCCTAAAGAAGGGAAGGTTGAGAGGGGGCTTGATAGCAGCTTACCGCTATATCAGACAAATGCATCAGGAGCTCGGTGAACAACTGTTTGCTAGGGCACCCCCGGGGGAGACCAGGACCAATGGATATAAACTCCTGGAAGGCTGCTTCAGGCTTAATACCAGGAAAAACTCCTTCCCAGTGTCCAGACTGTGGAATAAACTCCCTCCAGAGGTGGTGCAGTCATCTACCCTGGAGGTTTTCAAGAGGAGACTGGACAGTCACCTTGCTGGGGTCACCTAACCCTAGTTGTCTTCCTGCCTAGAGCGGGGGGGCTGGACCCGATGATCTGCAAGGTCCCTTCCAGCCCCCAACAGCCTATGAATCTGTGAAACCCAACTGATGGCATGCATGGTCTGACCTGTGTGGCAGGCCCCCCTTTCTCACCTTCCCTTACATCTGTCCTCTGCCCCTTGCATCTCCACAGCCTGAGGCAGCTCAGCACCCTTTGTCTCCTTTTGTCTTTTCAGAATTACACAAAATGTAGCTGCATCCTTGGAAATGGGCTGGAAGGATACGCCAAGCCTGGGACCTGCGGCACCAACTGTTCCCGGTTCCTCATCCCCTTTATCGTGTTGTCCTGCCTGGCAGGCATCCTGGCGAGCATTTCACATACGCCTTCCTTCATGCTCATCCTGAGGTAACGTGGCGCCACATGCACGCGCTGCGCTCGGTCCGGTAGCTCCCCTTCCTGATGGCATAGTCCGGGGATGGGAATATGACGGCAGGAACCGTGAGCCAAGTCCATTTTATCCAAAGCACAGGTGTTTGGGGTGGAGGGTGTTACACTTAAGTCCTCTGCTAGACTCATGCCCAAGTTAGGGCGCGTGCCCCACCCATCGGGGCTCTATAGAAATGAGAACAGGAGGATAATTCCTCCCCCCGGGCAGCACTGCAACAAGACCCATCAGGTGGATAAGTAGACAAATGGGGATGGGCTCAGTGACAAGGTAACAGTAAATCTGAGTCCATTCATAGGCCTATTCTCATCTCAAGCTGAATTTGCACCTGGGGAATAGCTCTGGGGACTGCTCCCCCCAGCCTCACACCTTGCATCGCAATGCCCCCCAATGCAAAGTGGGGATAAAATACAACCAGAGCAGAATGATAGCACATCCCATACCTTTGCTTTCAATGGAGTCCCTGCCGGTGCCACTCCAGTCTCCTTCTTGTCCTTTACCACGTACAGCTAGCCTGACCTAAATCTGCTGCTGGCTTTGCCTGGGTTTCTCTCTCTGGGTCCTGGTGCCTGTGTCTTTACGGTAGAGCAGATCACAGACCCAGAAAAGGCGGGCACAAATTCGGTGCAGTTCTGCCTTTGCAGCAGCATGCAATAAACTTGACCTACTAACCCCCAGTTTGCCAGCAGATATGCGGAGCCCTCTTATGTGCCTGAGCCAGAAAGGAAGAGATGTTTTTCAGTCAAATGTCAGATCATTAGAACTGTTTTCTTCTTTTCTTGCACAAACCATTCCTAAGGGCTGTGACTTGTTAGTAGAGCCCTATGCCGGGTCTACTACAGTAGGTCCCTGCTCCTCTTCGGCTGCAGAGGCTCTTTCCATCTCTCTTTATCCACTGCAGCTCCATCCTTTGCAGTGCTAAGCAGTGAGTCAACAACATCAGGCTGTAAGCTGCTCCCTGGGCGTGTCTACATGTGCATTCACTGCGTAGTAAGTTACTGCGCAGTAAGTGGTTTTTACACCGGCATCTACACATGCAGGTGTTACAGAGCAGTAACACTGCGTGTGAACTGACTTGGGACTAAAGTTAGTCCCAAGTCAGTCCACACACACAGGGTTACTGTGCAGTAAAGCATCTACACGTGCCTTATTGCACAGTAACTATTCGGGTGTAAATTTGCTACCTGCATCATGCAGGTAGCAAATGTATGCCCAAGTTGCCATAAGCCACCATAGTTGCTGCACAGTACAGGCGCGCACATATAGACATGCGCCCATACTGAGCAGTAATTTTCAGTTACTGCGCAGTAACCTAAGTTACTGCACAGTACCTGTGCACATGTAGACGCGCCCACTGTGGGGCAGCCATCAGCACTGAGGAGCTGTCAGCATTTCAAACCATTCAATTCATCTCCTAGGACCTGTGTATGCCATGACCCACCAGCCTTCCCTGCTATGGTTGCATATGTGCTGGTGGAGTGGCTGAATGCTATGGTCAGATGCTTGCTGCCCTTTCTGGCCTCAGTACATAGCACGAGAGCACAGGTCTCTGATCCCAAGTATCTGAGCCATGTGTGCAGAGCACATCTATGGACACCACACCCTAAAAAACTCCAGCCGTTATGCTGGTAAATAGTTTCTCCACTGATAGCATGTGTGTATGTAGGACTGCTCACCCTTCGTGATGTGAGGGGCTCAGCTGGCAACCAGAGATGCCCTCCTCACAGATGTATTTAAAATAAATAACTTCCATTATTCCCACTTATATATGCCACCTCCTTCAGACATTCACAGCATTTTAAAGCCAGGAAGGGGTCATGATGCTTATCTAGTCCAATCCACATCGTGGTCCATTGGAGGGCAATGGCAGTGACTCCATTGAAAGCAAAAAGCTTGATCTGGCCAAGGTATTCTGTCATTCTGGTGTAGTGTGCCCTTGGTGCCAAAGAGGCTACCGGCATCCTGGGCTGCATTGGTAGGAGCGATGCCAGCAGATCGGGGCAGTGATTCTTCCCCTCTGCTCAGCACTGGGGAGGCCACATCTGGGGCCCTGGGTCCAGTTGTGGCCCCCCATGACGGAAAGGATGTGGACAAGTTGGAGAGAGCCCAGCAGAAGGCAATGAAAATGGTTGGGGGCTGGGGACAGGACTGGTGAGGAGAGGCTGAGGGAACTGCGCTGATTGAGTCTGCAGAAGAGAAGACCGAGGAGGGATTTGATTGCAGCCTTCACCTCCCTGCAGGGGACTGCAAAGAGGATGGAGCTGGGCTGTTCTCAGTGGAGGCAGGTGACAGGACAAGGAGCAATGGGCTCAAGCTGCAGCAAGGGAAGTTGAGGTTAGGTATTAGAAAAAACTTTCTCACGAGAAGGGTGGTGAAGCGCTAGAACAGGCTCCCTAGAGAGGTTGTGGACTCTCCATCCTTGGACGTTTTTAAGCCCCGGGTAGACAAAGCCTTTGCTGGGATGATGTATTTGGGGCTGGGCCTGCTTGGAGCAGGGGGTTGGACTAGATGTGACCTCCTGAGGTCCCTTCCACCCTCATTTACTATGATTCTCTGATTCTGTAAAGCTGGTCACATTGTGTTATTCTCCATAGAAACTATATGTTGCACATTTGCACTTAGGACCAAAGCCAGGGCCAATGAACCCAAATGGAATTTTTTTGTCGAGTTCATAGAAGCTGCATCAGACATTTATTGTTTGAGATGAAGCATATGCTTATGGGTACAAACCAGACCGGCTCTCTGTAGATTAGTTCTGTTCCCGGTGCTACTCGCATCCCATTATGATCCTGGATATATCACTAGTGTCTCAGTGCCTCAGTTTCTCCATATGTAAAGTGAAATCATCTAGTAAGTGGTGTTTTCCTAACTTTCCCATCAGGAATGGGACAGGAACACCAAGCACATATACTACTTTCCAGCAAGCATGACACGGAGTTGATTGACTTTGTCAGGCTTGTCTAACAATTTATCTCCTGTGTTTCCACATAGTAATTCTGGGCATCTGGCATCAAGGACTGTCTTTATTGTTAGGTGATATTTTGAACACCCAAACACACACTAGGTCCTGAGGTGAACCTCTAAAACGATGGCTACGGGGTGCGATGGGGAAGTGCTAAAACCACTACGCTGCTCAAAGTCAGAACAGCGTTTGTTAAACACATGGATGCTTGGAAACAACATTAATCTTAAAAAAAAATAAAGTTAGCTGTTAACAGTGAATTCCCTTGGGCAAAATATGAACACGAAGGAACAGGGAGATTACAACCCCGTGGTTGTGATACATCTCAAGGACTGAAGCCAGAGCTCCAGGATTTGTGTGGGTGTAAATGAGCAATGCTTGTTGGAGGGTAGCCAACCCCTCTTGCTATTATTTTTCAGGACTGTTCAACCCGAAGATAAATCCTTTGCTGTCGGGATTCAGTTTATGCTGCTGAGAGTTTTAGGTAAGTGAAAAGCTGTTGCAAAGCAGACGTGAAAAGTTATGCCACTCTTTGGCCTCCACAGGGCGCAGGTGGGAGATGAATGAAGATACCTTGGTGGGAAGAAGAGGAGGTGTTGGGGGTTAAGAGGGCGTCTTGCTTTCCTCAGCCAGTGCTGAAACATTATCGCCAGCCAGGGGAGACTGTGCTGCTGGACCCCTGGGGTCTGTCCAGGGGGAAGTGGGGAAAAGATCTCTCTAAATAGATTCTGCAAAGAACTTGGGGACCTTCCTGGTACTCAGACAGTGTCTGGGCCTAAATGGCTATTTGCTTCCGACACATCCTAATGGCTGGAAATAATGTTCAGCAATTAGGTCCATTATTTTTATGATGATGGGAATTAATCCTCACCCAGCGAGCATTGCACTTGCTATTGCAGTCCTGATAACGAGCATTCTCATAATGTTCCCAACAAACAGGCAGAAATGAGTTTGCCTTTATATGCCACGGGCCCTTAATACAGAAAAGCACAAAAAGAAAAACCCGTCACGTCTGATCCAGCCCTCAGCCAGGCCAGGGCTGTCCCTTTCTCTTCGGACTGAACTAATCTTTAACTGCTTATACATGGCATCTGCTCATCAGCGAGTGAGGGTGGATAGTGTAGCTATTCTGCTGACTGGTGGGGCATTTTCTCTTGTGGCTGTAGAGACCCATGTTAGACTTGCAGGTCCTGCCACAGTGGTCACAGGTGCACACGGCATTAGGGGCTGTTTCCTTTGGTCACATTTCTGTTGTAATTCGAGAGGCCAGTTCTTGTCGTGATGTTGGGCTCCATGGTGGAGATGGGACCGCCACTTTGTCCTGTCTCCTGCTAAGGCTCCCCCAAGATTTGAGCCAATTCCAAAAGCCTTCATATCCTACTTGCAAATGTCTTCGAAGCGCAATTTTGGGCACCCTACTCTTCTTTTAACTGCTTTTAACATTGCAGTGATCACTGGGCATGTCTACATGTGCATTTACGCTGACTTAAATTTACTGCGCAGTAAGTTACTGTGCCGTAAGCGAGAATAGGCTGCGTCTACATGTGAAGGCTCTAACGTGCATTAAGGCTCTGTGTGGACTGACTTGGGACTAAAGTTAGAACCAAGTCAGTCCACACACACAGTGTTACTGTGCAATAAGGTGTCTACACATGCATTACTGTGCAGTAACTAATTGGGCATTAATTTGATACCTATATGATGCAGGTATCAACTTTACACTCGAGTCAGCATTAAGTCACCATATTTGCTGCACAGTGTGGGCGTACACATGTAGACACACATCCGTACTGCTCAATACTTGTGGTTACTGTGTAAATGCACACATGTAAATGCGCCCACTCGTTTTCGCCCTGTGTCTGTTTTGCCATGGCCATGGAGTGAACTCGGTCCTGTCTGGTAGCAGACCTGCACTGTCCCTTCTCAGCTGCAGCAGCTTTAGGCATCCCATAGCTACATGGCCACTTCAGGCACGGGACAAAGCTCTCTGCTCGTTGCTTGAGTCTCTCTCAAGCACCAGGCCAATCTCAGGAGACCGCTCACCAGCCATTCTGCAATTTCTCAGATCGGCCTAGGAAGAGAAGCAGGAGAGGTCTGTCCTTGGGCATGGAGATGCTCACATGCCATCTGCTTGCTTTGCAGCCTGGATGCCAGGACCAGTGCTGTACGGAAGCGCCATTGACACGACCTGCATCCTCTGGGAAAGGAAGTGCGATCAGAAAGCCGCGTGCCGGTATTACAACAACGACCTCTTCAGACAAAGGTACGGCCCTTGTGCCGCTGCCTCTCCACGCTCCTTTTGCATAGGCTGGGGGCATCTTTAAGAGCAAGATGCTGCCTCAGTTCGGGTAGTCAGGTGATGAGCACGAGAGGGAAGGACGGGCAGACAGAAGAGCGCGAGGAAGGCAGCGTCGTGAGTTTTGCTCGGCGGGATTTTCACTGTCACAGGGAGGCACCAAATAGCTTTTGCGGAGGAGCATCCACAAACCATCCCTTGCATTTTCCGAGATCCCCGTGTTGGTAGAAGTCAGGTGAGGGACCGGGGATCTGTTCATTGGTTTCCCTTATAAATATGGATACTTTCTCTAGCCACTGCCAAGGACAGGAGCCTGCTCTGCCCGGTGGACAGCCTTCCACTCAGTCCTGAACAGCTGTGCACCTGCTTCCTGGAAATGGTCTGAGTAGGACAGAGCGCTCAGCGGGAAGCAGGGTGGAGGGTTGCCGGGGGGTTCAGGGCAGTCTCCAGAAAGCACTTGATGCACAGTGCAATCCCTTGGCAAAAAACATGCCATGTCAACGTGTGTTTATGACATCCTTAGGGATTCTCCATCTCTCTCAGGGATGATACTTCATCCTGGGGTGGCACATCCACCCCAAACCTTCCCACGGTGCATGAATGAACACAGGGCACCCTAGAGCCTATGAGAGCCCCCCCACACATATCACTGATGCACTGTCACCTCGTGCTGTTTGTGACTTTAGTGGAGCGGTGAGGTTGAGCATCTAGCTCTTAGAGGCCTCCGTTATCATTAGGAGGTTGGAAGGGACCATCCCACCTGCCCCAGAGCAAGACTAACACTCGCATTACTTTGCATTGTCACCCCTTGCAGTGCAGCTGCATCTAGTGTCAGCGTTTCATCCGTCTGCTTCTTACCCACTGTCTGTGCAGCTAAACCACGGTGTTTCCACCCCCTGTTTAAGTTAGGATTAAGTGACTGAGGTTTAACTTCACTTGCTGAAGATTAGGAGCAGACGGATGAAGCGGTAGGGATCAGCAGACACGCACCACCCAGTGTTAAGTCTCTTCTCCTTACACCAATGTCATTCGACGTCTGTCCATGCTCTCAAATCACTAAACAGCTCCTGATCGAATGGCCTAACTTGTGGCCTGACTCTATCATCCTTGCACTGAGCAGGGTTTGCTGCTGCCCTGAGGAGGTGCCCATCAGCCTGGATTCTGGGCACAATCTTTTATTAGATGTTTCCCTTTTGCAGTAAAACGGCTCGACACAGCCCTGGCTGGGATGATCTAGTTGGGGATGCTCCTGCTTTGAGCAGGGGGGTGGACTAGATCCCCTGAAGTCTCTTCCAACCATTATTTTCTATGATTTTATGATTCTATGTGATTTACTGACACCAAATTAGGACAAGGGCAGTTGAATGGGCATTATCCTTTGGTCGTGCTATGCTGTAGGAATCCAATCCTCCAGCCATCACTACACCGAGGTCAATATTCGGTTCCAGTTTCCTTTCCTCCACTGGCACCATTGTCAGGGAGCAATCACACGTCATTAAACCAATACCCCATGTCGCTGATTGGGGATCGGTCCACAGCTTGGTGGGAAATGTGGTGTGGAGGGGAGTGCTTATACCCCGGGGGTGCATAAGCTGTGGCTGGGGACATTTTCACTTTTTTTTGCTTTCCCTTCTCTCCGGTGCAGAAAGGTTTGTCTGGACTGGCTTGGATAAGGATGATCCTGTCTCAGGCAGGGGGTTGGACTAGTTGACCTTTGAGATCCCCTCCATCCTTACTTGTCTATGATCCTATGCTTCGATAGCCTGCATTTGACTGATCCCCACAGTGTACTTGGTGGGGGGGTAGGGTTTGGACCCATATTTCTGAATTCCCAAGGGCTGGGGCTGGGGTATGATGATGGGGGACCACGATTGAGGGGAAGTGCAGACACGTCTGGCTGTAGAACAACTTTTCTTGACCAAGCAGTGCAAGGGAGCTGAGTGAAAAAAGTGCCAAGAAAAGTCAAAAAAGGGGCAGTAGAGCTCTGGCAGTACAGGAGGGGGGTGGGGGAGAGAAGAGCAATGCAATGTGGGATGCCTGGAGGACCAGTCAGACCCACGTCACATAACGCTGGTGCCCGTATGTAACTTTGGACCACTTCAAAAGAGCACTTGATTTTCCAGGTATGCTCTTGAACCGTTCCAAGCCGCTTTACACCAGTTGAATAGGCTTGTATGTCTGTCTGCTTGAGATTTAATAGCATTTAAGCCAGTCTAGGTGTTACCTGCCCTCCCTCTGAGTTGACTGAAAACAGCTAGAGCTCGGGGCTTGTTGGCTGCCCACCCTGGAGCGTTGTCTGACAGGCGCCGTGCTCTGAAATCCCTCTCCCTTAGCGCTCCGCTCTTTTGTGTTTCTCCACCCCAGGTACCTTGGACTCCAGCTTTTCTTTGAAGTGGGAGCTCTCCTGTGCTTCTTGGCTGTGTTTTTCATTCTCAGACAGCAGGAGAGGGAAATCAGCAGCGCAGAGGAGCCAAAAGCAAACCCGGAGAAGGAGAAGCTGGCGGAAATTTCAGAGAAAACCCCAGATTCCAAAGTCTAAGATGGAGAACGGGAATCGCATTCGGTCCCCGGGGGACGAGAGCCGTGCAGCTTGCCTTTGACTGACTGTGAAGGAGGGATGGTTGGATGGAGACTGAGCTGGCAGGGAGACCGCTGCCCATCTTTCTACTTGGAATCGACAGCTTTTGCTCTGCCTTTGTTTTTAAATGCACTCTTTTACATCTAACCAGGTCTGAAGGGTGCCCAGGCACGTTCACTTGGATTCATCCACCCATATGTACCCATATCAATTCCTGTCCTTCTAAGCTTTCGTTCACCTGGCGGGCAGGAGGAAGCCAGTGTTTTAAGCGTTTAATGCCCACAGTTCAATTGTTTTAATAATAGTTAGGGTTGTTTTTTTACAGTTTATAAATGTCTCCCTGTACGGGGTTGTGTCTTTGCCTAGAAACCTCAGTGGTCACAGCCCGACACCTTCCTGCTCTTCCTCTTGCACTGGGGGATTGTTCCTGGCTGGGAAAGACTAATCCGTAGACACGTATAGTCCTGCCTGCACGCAGCGGCAGCCCGGGAGAAGCTATATCTGCAGGAAGTCGGTGGTGGAGAGGGAGTCGGGGCAGGGCTGGGGAGGGCATGGTGGCAACGCCATGCCCTCACAGGAGTCGCTGAGCATGCCCGGGAGAGCGGGCTCTGAGCAGGAGCCAGGTTGCAGCACGCAAGCATTTGCAGAAATCCTAAATTGTGCTTTTCTGCTGCCTGTGCAATGACACGGAGTATTACTACCCCTTTTACAACAGCAGGAGGCAGGGCAGGGTTGCCCCTTCAAGACTAACTGGTGCAGAGAGGCATGAGCTTTCATAGGCAACAGTTTCCTTCGTCAGAGGCTGTGACTTCAGGCAAACACGGCTCACCACCTCTCACTTTACAACAGCAGAGACCAAGCCAAAGACTTGGTGAAGGCCACACAGCCAGTCAGTGTCAGAAACAGGGTTAGAAGCCCAGGGGGGCTGAGCACGGGATAATCTGTGAGCCCGCAGAGCACAGCAAGCCCTGTTATCAGTTAGAGTTGATTTAGCAGAAGCTCTAGGCTAAAAGTCAATTCTGGTTTCATTTTACCCTCTGCTAATACCTCTCTCTACTGCATTTGCTGCCTGCGTCCTGCCTCTGGGACAGGCCATCTATTGCAGATTACTGTGGTGGTCGCATTCGAGCCCCCAAGCCACCACAGGTCTTGGCTGCTTTTACTCCAGGGCGGAAGAAGCCAAAGCCCTCAAATAAAGAATTGCGTGGTCCAGAATAAATAAGAACTGTACAGCGGTGTCACAGAGTCCTAGAGAAGTGGGGCTGGAAGGGACCTCCAGAGGTCATCTAGTCCAACCCCCTGCCTGAGACAGGGTCGCCCCTATCCAAACCTCCTCAGACAAATTCATAATCTAAACTCTTCATAAAACTATCATAAACCCTGATGCAACTCCAGGCATCGCACCCGAACCTGCCGCAGGTGAAGCAGGGAGACCACGGCAGCCAACGTCCTGCTGCTGTAAAAAGTTGTTAATATGCACTCAAGAGCTAGAGGCCAAAGCCCCCACTACAGAGGAAGGCAACCTCAGCCCCCCAACCCAGTCTGTATCAATCTAACCACGGGGTAATATTCCTTCCTGACCCCAAATGCAGCATCGGTCTGGTCCTGAGCAGAGGCGCAAGACTATCTAGCCAGGAGCCTCTGGCCTTGGTCCCAACAGGAGCATTGGGACAGCCTGGTCCCCATCCCCAGCCTTGACTGCCGCCAACATCCAGTGCCTCTGTGGGAGGCTTAAAAACATCCTGACACATGTACGAGAAAGGGGGTGGGAGGGCAACCAGTGTCTATAGCCAACAGCATGCAAGGGAGGGATGTGACCAGCATCATGTCCAGCCACCTCTGACTCCCCGACCCAAATGACCAGGTGCCCAGGTATAGCCAGGACAACCAGAGGGTCCGTGAATCCCACCACCACCTCGCCCTCAATACTATGGCAATAACTCCCCTAAAGAAACCCTCTCCATCAGCATGTGGCTTTGCTATCTGACAGGTGCCATTAAAGAGAAAATAAGCTTTATTCTATTTGCATAATTCAACAGGATTTGCAACTAGGATACAAAGTGCAGGAGAAATCTGCCCCTGGAAAAACAAAGTTACAAGCTCTGCTGTTAGCACATGTGAGGCAAGATCAACAGTCCAGCTGACAGGTCAGCTTCTCCTCCCAACACGTATGGGCCCCGAAGCAATACTGACCCAGAGAAGCCAATGCTCCTTCAACCCATTGTGGGTCCCTCTGTTGCAGCTTAGATAACCTCCAGCTGTGCCGTCCATCTCCACTTTCCACCAGCTCTCACAAGATAGGCCACTTCCCCACAGTGTGGCATAGCATGCGATGGTGCCCTTGGTGTGCAAATGTGCTACAAACATCCACTGGGCCCACAGTGTTGCCATACAGTGCTGCAGAGTAGAATAAGCCATGATAAAGAAGGCTCGGATGCTACTACAGATGGTTCACCAAGCATGTTGCCTCTCTTCTAGTCAGTCAGTCAACATGTGTGTAATCGCTAAGCCATCCTATAGTGCTCTCAGTGGCCATGTTCAATTCCCATAATCCACCACTGAAATGAATCAGTGGGCAGCCCTCGACAATATGTGAGATGGTGTGTGCTTTGCCATAGCTGTAGTCTGGGTTGTCACAAAGACCCCCAACGGTGGGGATGGCCAACACGGACCTTGCCGTGCCCAGAACCTATTCAGCAAGGCCCACTGACAGCATGGCAGGTTGAAGCCAGGTGGGCAGACTGTAGGGTCTGTGATAAGGAACTTGTTTGGTGGTGATGTCAACCCCCATCCTCATACCAGAAAGTCTCTGCTTTACAGTCTTGGTGTGGCATTTTGAACCATAGTGGGTATTGTGATGGTAGATGTGCAGCAGGTGGATTTTGAGAGACCATCATACAGTGGCAGGCTTGGATTGGCTCAGATCTTCTCCAGTAGCTTGCAAGTTGCAGCTTCCCATTAGATATGAGAAGTAAGAGCTGGAAGAAATCACGTCATCCTTCTAGTGAGAGATGGAAAAACACTCCCTCCCTTTTGTTCATTGAAGAGAAAGTCAGGAAGTGATTTCATCATTATTTCCACATGCCCACTGGCAGTGGAGATTTCTGTTAGCAGACAACTAGTGTCTGATAGGAAGAGGTGTAATTGGGACCCAGTGTTGGGAAAGCAAAGCTAGACAAATTCAGACAGGAATAAGAGCTAGGTTTATAATAGAGAAGGTAAGTGCTCAGGGTTGTGGGAGTTTCTTTATTGCTTGAAGTCTTCAAGTCAACTCTGGAGGTGTTGCTGAGGGAGGTGCTATAGCTCCAACAGGTTATTGGCTTGATGCTGAAGTTGAGTATAGTCCTTCTGTCAGGGTCTGGAGGAGGTCAGACAAGTTTCTCAAAATAATCCCTTCGAGTAAAAAAAAAAAAAATTACCAATCTCCCTTATCGTATCCATATGCGAAGGAGCAGACACTTTCCTAGTGCTGTTCCATCTCCACAAGCAATTCCCACCAACCACAGAAAAACATTCAAGGGTGTATTCAAAACCTTCACATGCTGATAAAAACTCAGTTTTCTCTTAAAGGCATGAGGGATGCATTGTCTGGCATTGTACTGTGCTGGGAGTCCTGGGAGGGAGTTAGAGCAGGGCTGGCAAAGACACAGCCCATGGAGCCACATTATCCAGTCCCCAGCGCTGGACCCTGGTCTCAGGTTGACCTATGGGCAGTAAGTGGTGTGCACCACATTGGCCCCACATGCAGTGTTCACAGGCACTTGTGTGATGCTAACATTGATTGTCATACTGGCTGACTGGGCAGAGACCTTGGCTACATACACATCCAATTAATGTGGGAGCATTATCCTGGGTTTATTTTCCTGATAGAAAAACCTACCTGGAGATTCCTGAACAAATATTTGAATG